ACCTGCAAGCAGGCACAGGGGCGGGGAGTTCAGTGCTGGCCTTGTCTCCAGGGCTCACTGAGACAGCAATTGAGACTGGGCGTGGTGGTGTGCGCCTGTAATCCCAGCTCTTGAGAGGCTGTAAACAGGTGGATCACTATAAGCCTGATATAGTAGTGAGACCATGAATACCCTGTAGACCCATCTCTAAAATACAGAAAAAAAAAAAAAAGAAGAAGAAGAAAGGAGAAGACTGACACACAAAATGTGTTTAGCATTACTTTGCTTTTTCTCCTCTATTTTCTTTTTTGGAGAGAGGAACAGAACCAGGAGATCTGTACTTTTATCACTTAAGCCTTTTGATTGGGCTCATTCCTAGCTCAAGTTTTGCATTCAAGGTGCATTAATGGAGTACATGTGTTTCAAATTGAGAGAAATGTCCGCAGCATATCTGTGCAAATTCTACACGTGTAAAACGAGAGTATGCCACAAATTCTCTGGTTGGGGTGTTATTGTTTATTAAGTGCTGTTTCTCAAATACAAATATCTTTTAGTGCATTAAAATATAAGGCAAATTATTGTGCTCAGCTCTGGTTCAGTCTGACAGTGCTCTGTGCCTCAACTCTCAACACTTGACGAAAGCCTGTGGAGGGTTGCTGTGACGTCATGACTCTGTGGTGTTTTGATTTCCTTCTAGAGTCATAAACTGCACCTTTGGCACAATGAGGGAAGAGTTGTTCCTTCGGATAGAGTTGTTCCTCCTCATGGAGTTGTTCCTCCTCATGGAATTGCGCTTCCTCAGGGAATTCTGGTGTGACAGCTCACTCTTTTGGAGGGTCTGGATGAGGATGGAAGGCTTCTCATCCAGCTCCCGGGCACTGCACCGCGGAGCAGCCACCTTCACAGTGTTGCCGAATTTGGAGTAGTCCACTGAATATACACCTTCTTCCTCAGTCACAATAGACACAAAGCGATGGCCCCACTGGATCTCCTCTGCAATGTAGGAGGTTCGTGCTTGTGTGGTGATGCCAGTTGTCTCAACCACACCTTCTAGAATAACTATGACCTCTAGATCTTGGTTGTCAAGGTCAGTGGCTGAGATATCATACAGGGGGCTGCGCTTATCAATCACGTGGCTGATGATCAGAGGGGCCACCAGGAAAATGTTATTGCTCTCAATTGGGTTGTCAACGGGAATGTCCAGCTGGTGAATAGGCACCACCTCCCCCTCAGGGGTGGTCGTCTTCTTGACCACCTGGATGCGCACAGAGGCACTGATGATCATGCTTTTCCTCAGGTCTCCCACGCGGAACATGAAGCACAGCTTGCCATTGCGGACAGCTATCACCGCATGGCGGCTGAAAATCAAAGTCTCCGCTCTTCTGTGAGCCTGAGCTGTTTTCATGAAAATGCAGCCTAACATGACCGCGTTGATGATGAGACCCACAATGTTCTGGAGGATCAGCACTGTGATGGCCAGAGGGCATTCCTCTGTCATCATCCTCCCTCCAAATCCAATCGTCACTTGAACCTCAATGGAGAAGAGAAAAGCAGAGGTGAAAGACCTGCAGAGAATACCAGAACACAATGCCATCAGGTCAGAGTTTTGAACAATGAAGTAATGTTCCAAGCTTGACTTCATTTTCTTCTACAGGTCATCAACATTTTTGGAAACACTACCCAACTTAGCTCAACAAAGGTCTAATTGAAAAACTAGTATGATCCTCCACACCTGTTCTCTGTCTTTCTTTTCCACACTCATCTATCCATCTACCTCTAGACTTCCAGAGCAAAATTTATTAAAGTTGTATTAAACACAGTTATGATATATGTACACAATAAGTATGAATTATATTGATAGGCATATTTTTCTTTGTGAAACACTTTACTTTCACAAAGAATTAATGTACTCTGTGGGACTTTCAAGCAGGTAAATTTTTATTATATACCACATATCCACCACTTTTAAAAGATTTGAGCCCTATACGCTGAGGACCAGTGAACATTCATTTCTGTAGAACTTTTAAAATCATACTCATTAGTTAACACTTATTACATACCTTATATAGAGAAAGCAGAGTGGAAAATGTTGTCATTCCAAAATGTTAGTACTTTCAATAGAGTATTTTTCTATGTGGAAAGAAAATTATTTATTGATTCTCTTATTTTGTTCTCTAAGTGGTCTAGAGAATTGGAATGATTAAAGGAAAAATTTAAGGCAGAGGTTAATAAACATCTGTGTCAAGATCATATATTAATAGTAACTTCAATCTTGTCAGTTCTGGCCTGAGAGAGGCAAAGGGAAGGGGTCAAAAATTGGCAGGATTTTCTTGGGAAGCTTTTGAAAATTACATGTCTCAATCAGTGTAAACAGATTCCATAGGCTCAGGGTAGATCTGAGGTAAGACGCTTTGAAAAGTTCCCAGGTGATCCAGACATTCCCAGTAGAGAAATGTCACATCTGGTTGTCATTAATTTATTCACTTAATTCCATATAAAGTACTGCAGCGGCCTCTTCAAGGAAACACTATTAGCCCTATCTTTGCCACCCAACTTCACACACTTTCCAAATTTCACGGACTACAAAGCATTCATCAGTCATCTGTCAAAGTGTTATCTCTCTAGTCAGTCCAGGCATGATGACTAAGCAAAATGTTTAAAAAGTCATCCACACGAAACACTTTAGCATGAGTCAGGAAAGGCAAGCAAGTATCACAGACATTGGCTGGCTTTCAACTTGAGTGTTGAAGTTGCTCATTTTCCTCTTTTGTTGCCGAAAGGACTCACGGAAAACTATAGTAATTGCTTTTTGTACTAACTTCACATAAGATATACTCTGTAGCCTAAATATATGGCAAATAGTAGACATGAATACAAGAGAGGAGGCATGGGAGCTACACTGATTTCTACCAATAGTCCATAATTCAGGGAGCAGTCTAATGATGAATAGCCATATGTTTTAGTGGTTTAAGAGACTAGTCGCAGACTATATTTTTATATCATTATATTTTATGACAATTTAATCCTAATCATTGTGTATTATTTCTGTCATGCTAAACAATCACAAGATAGAAAAATATTTAACAATTCCTTTGCCCTGTACAGAGAGAGCTAGATTGAGTAATAGAGACAAAGAGGAAATATTTTCTATCTTCTGACTCAGAAAGTCATCTACAGGAAGAAGAAGAAGAAAGTGAATCACCCTATAAGAATGGTTAAATGGGGCTTGAAAGCACTGGTGAATATCCATTGGGGAAAATAAAAGTTATTTCTCCCTTTGACAATACAGCTAGACAATGAATTTATGAAAGGAAAAGAAATGTAAACAATTAGCATTTTTATTACTTATCTTTTAAATTCTTTATGGCAGAGAATAAAAGTGTTTTAATAGCTACACTTTTGTTGGAATCATTTCCACATAGTTCTCTATAATTAAACTGTTGAGATTAAAGTATAAATTATATCATACCATTATAAGAATAGAAATCACGTTACAAGATGTCACATAGCTTTAAGACATGCAATTTAAAACAGTAACATTGTTATGTGGGCAGAATCTTCTTTGCTCCACTGCATGGGTGACATCATTTATCATAGTTCACACCAGTAGGAACCCATCCAAGGAATGATTATGTTTCAAAACATTTTATTTGAAAAATAGTATGGAGCAAGGAATAGCTTTTAATAGCCAGTGCACCTTGTGCAATTATTTAAAAGTTACTGAAGGTATATGTCTTTAGATGACATATATTTTTAAAATTGGCAAATGATGTTTTACATAGAAAATGGTAATAGATTGGTCTTCTAAGTAAAATATGTCATTTATTTTCAAGGTTTATTTTTTTAAAATCTTTTCTCAGCAATATCAACTATATATTTATAAAAAATCTTGTATTTATAGGAAAATGCTTCACAAAGATTAGGGCTAGTAAGTTTTCCTATAGAGAAATAAAATATTACAGACGATGATATGTGCCTGTCAAATCCCTATTCAACTCAGAATTTTGTTGCCTTTATAGCTAGTGTACTGATGATCAGCTAGGTTTTTCATCTACATTTCAGTTGAGACAAAATTTTGTGACAAGTTGGAGAAAAAAAAATAATATCTTCTCAGTGGTACAGGCAATAGATTCATTTAATACAGCATTGTCTCACTAAAATCTGAGCTGAAATCTGTGGAGCCCGATCTGCACACACGAAGGCTCCACCCCCCGGATATGCTGGCTTTGCACTTACTTAGCAAGTGGAAGGGCAGAGGGTTCATATTCCTGCGCTTGCTCCTTGCAGCGTGGCATGCTAGTTTCTTAAGATTTCATGTCACCAGAGTCCCATTCTGTACAGTTTCCTGGATGGAACGGTGCTTGCTCAAGTTTCTTTGCTTTGCAAATTATGTGAATTTGGAATATTATTCAGAGAACGGTCTCAAAGGTTTTCTAGTATTACTACTGCCATCATACTTTGAAGTGAAAATGTTTGCAATCGATAAATTGTGTATTTCCATTTCCAATAAAACAAGTTTAGAAGGAAAACACTTCAACTAAATGTTCTCAGGCCACATGAAAGGAAGAGAGAACTATTGGAATCAAACGTACTTTACCTATCTTTGAAATATTTGCATAAGAAGCCAAAGAAAGGGAAGTAATCTAAGAACTGTTTTATTCTATCAAAACTTTGAAAGACTGCGATATTAAGTCACTCCTATATAATAGCCTCCCATCATAATTTTGAGCCAATTTCCATTAAAAATTAGTATTTTCTAGTTCTGAGTCTTGAAATAACTATTAGCTTTTGAATCCAATCAAGCCATCAGCTATGACAGGATAATGTGCTAATGTCATTATCTTTTTCTTCTGTCTAAAAATGTCATGGGTGAAAGAAGTCATAGAAAAATATTACTACACTTGCATCACCTTTTTGGTGGATTGGAGATATTTACCTGTAGACAATGAAACGATGGACAACAACTTTTTCATGCTGCTAATTAAATATAAGCTTTTGGAATAAGGATTCCTTTGTTCTAAACACTTTGAAAACAACCAATATAATGTTTTCAAATTCAGCCCAAAGAATTGAAACTCTGCATTTTCACAAGCTCTCCATCTGACGACACATTTATAAAGATTTGTAATTTATTCAGCTTTTTCTTTATTTTGCTTTGCCTTTGCTTGTTTCTGAGCCTATTAATTTTATTTTCAACAAAACAATGAAGTAAGAGAGAGGGCATTTTTATTATTATTTTTTTTTTCCATTTACTGCTTGCAGCTCCCCTGCCTCGTCTCACTCCATTCTTACCTGACGTTAGTCACACACACAGTGGACTCCAAGCCACTCTTCTCCAGTCCACTTTTCTCCATGTAAGCATAGATGTCCCCGTGGGCAAAGGCCACCAGCCACCACATGATCGCGAAGAGCAGCCAGCTGCAGAGGAAGGACATGGTAAAGATGACCAGCGTGTGGCGCCACTTTAGGTCCACCAAGGTGGTGAAGATGTCCTGCAGGAAGCGGCCCTGCTCGCGGATGTTCTTGTGCGCCAGGTTGCAGGCGCCGCTCTTGGCGATGAAGCGCGCTTTGGGGAGGCGGTCGCGGATGCGCGGCTTGCGCAGGTTCTCTGCGGCGATGCGCGCCAGCACGTACTCCTCCGGGATGATGCTCTTCCTGGCCAGCATCTTCCTGTCACCATAGCCAGCTTATCCGCCCGCGCGCACCTGCCTCCAGACCTGTCCTCCTGCACAAGGAAAATGTGGATTAAAAACTTGAAAAAAAATGCATTTCTCAGTCTCTGTATTTCTTTACACATGCGAAACGCCATGCAAAGCTAAAAGTATGACTTTTATCACGAATCTAGCTCGTGTAGGAGAAAAGTTTTGGCCCGAATCGTAGCCTGAGTCGAAACCTGGAGCTTTCTTGTACTCAACGCGGACTGTTTGCTGTTAACCGCATCTGTATTTTAGTGCAGGCACACCGCGTCCGCGACGAAAAACTAAAGCGAGCCGGGTACAAGATCTACTCGTGAAAATGTTTCCACGATGTAGCAATATGAAAAGTAAAGAGGGAATTTCTCCCTCCGTATTTTTAGAAGCAGGCAAAGGAAAGGCCGCGGCCTCCTACGCGGTTTGAATAACATGTTACGTGTAATCTGACTACAGCAAGAATAAAGAAAACAGAATAAAGCGAGATGTTATGGATGGAGAAAAATTGTTCATTAGCT